GCTGGACTCTGCTGTCTGTTAGAAGTGTCCCTCTAGTTTGGGGGATTCAGCCAAGGACATTCTCTTCTCCATCAGTCTCCTTGCAGCTTATATCGCAGTGGGAGTGAATGAAATTCAGCCTTTGCTCTGTAAACAGATACAACAACCTTTAAATCCCAAATCAGAGATAATCTAACAATTAACAAAACAAGTGTTCATCCTAATGGAATTGTGTTTAGGTAACGAGGAACCCATATCTCCTTCCATGTTCCCAGAGATCCGTTCAGTCAAAGGATATGTTTACAAAGCTAAAAGCTGAAAATATTCTTGCATTTTGTTCATGCAATTTACATATCTCTCTTTTGAGACAGGGTCTCCCTGTAGCCCCAGCTGTCCTGGAACTATGTAGACCAGGCTGGCCTTGAACTCACAGAGATCCGCCTTAGCTGAGGAGCAGCCTTTCTGAAAGCTCCTTTGTAATGGCTGTTTCTAAGGAAACAGTTCCTCTGTCCCTGAGAAGAATGGTTCCTGAGGCAGGCCTCCTCCCTGGAGCTGATCAAACATCACAGGGTAGCCTTGGGAGCAGTGTTACACTTCGCAACAAAGCCTGCTGGAGGTGTGAGTCCATTTTCATAATCTAGGGCGAATGTGACCGAGATGCTATTAATGAAGCCAGGACTCCTGGGGGGAGGGTGTGAGCTGAGGGTAACCAAGCTGCCCTTCTGGGTATGTGTCTCCAATTAACTGAAAATGCTTGAATAAATCAATGAATGCTTGCAAAACTCAATGAGCTTGCACATGGGTTTATTGAATCACTTGCTATTTTTCAACTAAAATTGTGGTTGCACTCTACATACAGAGTGGACTGAAGGTTTTGATTAGATTGGCAAAATTTGAAAAATTAATCCTCTGACTTAAAAACAGAGTAGGTGACGGTGCACCTGGCAGATAGACTTTGTGTCCGAGTGCTGTGGCTTTGAGTCAAAGCTTCACAGTGAGGGACTGGCATGCATACAGCTTGGGACCACGTTTTGAATAACTACCCTCAACTGTCTTATATATGAGAGATCGTTTTAATACTATCTTTCAGAAGGGAAGCAAATTTTATATAAAATAAAATGTTTATGTTGAAGGTGATTTCCCAAACATTATCCTGGGTGTCCTATATATAGAACCACAGGGGGAATGCCCTAACCTTCATTCCAAGTATACTTAGTTAAGACAGAATGAACACACACACCACATACACACACCACATACATCAGACAAACATACCACATACATCACACATACATACTACATATACCCCACATACACACACAGCACATACCCCCCCACACACCACACACACAAACATATACCCATATCCACACCCACACCATACATACACACGACACACACACATACCACATACACATACACCCTCATATCACATATACCACACACATACACATACACCACACACACATACACCATGTACACACACAGCACGTATACACACACCACATACATACACCACACATACACACACACTACATACACCCCACATACACACACACACACACACACACACACACAATACACTGAGTGTTGTATAGCTATATAGGACGTAATATAGGTATACACCTAAGTTTGTAAGTGAATTCTTTTAGTTAACTATGTGAATCTATACCACACCACACACACAAACATATACCCATACCCACACCCACACCATACATACACACGACACACATACCACATACACATACACCCTCATATCACATATACCACACACATACACATACACCACACACACATACACCATGTACACACACAGCACGTATACACACACCACATACATACACCACACATACACACATACTACATACACCCCACATACACACACACACACACACACACTACACTGAGTGTTGTATAGCTATATAGGACCTAATATAGGTATACACCTAAGTTTGTAAGTGAACTCTTTTAGTTAACTATGTGAATCTATAAATATACATTACCCTATGCTAATATGTAAATATTTCAGCTCCTTTGAGATTGACAAATCAGGGAAAGTCAATGCTAGGACTTTAATCTCCATTTTTAAAGCTCAGAATACCTGGATTAGTCAAAGGAAGGAGATGTCTCCTTTGAGCTTCTCATTCAGGGGAGAGGAAACAGCTGAGTGGCTCCTGCCTGGGTTCCACCTCCTGCCAGTTTCTGGATACAGATGTGCTATGGAGAGATGAAATCCAAACGGTGACCTGTGAAACACAGAAGACGGTTGGGTCTGAGAGCTGGAATTTCTATGTGTGGTATATGTGTGCATGTGGTGTGTGTATGTGTGGTGTATGTGTGTGTAGATTCTAAACACTCAACCCACCGTTGTAAAACCTGAAACAATGATACTGCAAGAAATGGTGGCTCAGTCAGTCAGACAGTATGTGGACTGGCTACTCACAAGTCACGAGAACTGAGAAGAGCCGTGAATGACTTTTAGGTTTTGAAACATTTGGAATCCTGTTGAGTCCATATACAGACTACAAACACATTGCGTAAGGAACTTGGAGATGCCATACTTTCAAGTGCTCAGCAGGAGATCAAAGCTTGTGTCTCAGGGGTCTCTGGCTGTTGGTTCCTTGCATTCCCCACACTGACTTGACACACCCTTTGCTGAAAGAATAATAAATGATAAAAATGTTACTTTGTTTATTCAAAATAACAAAAATGTTCATTGGAATGGACAGTGGATAGATAAGGATCTACTTAATGGATAATGGGTAAGAATGCTCAACTTAAGGCAGCTCAGGTATCTCAAATACTGGGTCAAAATGCAAAGCAATTATGTAGACTCGGGAAAACTCACTCTAAGTGTTTAGCCTGCATTTGTAGCTATAAAAAGATGACACGGGGGTCTATGACAATATATGGTGTGTTTCAGAGTGCATTTTTCAATGTCTTGTTTCTACATGGATTTTTTTTTTTTATTTGTATTTTGAGACAGGGTCTCCTGTAGCCCCAACTGACCTGGAACTTGAATGCAGACCAGGCTAGCCTCAATCTTACGGAGATCCCCCTGTCTCTTCCTCCTGAGTGCTGGGATTGACATGTGCCATCATACCCAGCTACACACTGATTTTTTTTCAAGTAGCTACCTCAACTGAGAGAAAAGGAACACAATATTTCTGTACTTCCTCAATATGCTGTTCTTAAAAATCAATATTTGTCAGACAATCAACACACCTTATATTTTACTTATGCCACATTTGTTGTGCTTCCACTTTTAAGTCAAGGTACCACATTCACACAAAATAACTGATTCAATTTTGCTTTCCTGTCTCCGATGACAGCACAACTAAGCACATGGATTAAAAGCTCAGTCTTTAGACTTAGGTAAAACGATTTAAAAATTGTCCCGTTTAAACCTTAATTTTTTCACTTAATAATAAAAGTATAAAGACTTCCACTTTAGGTGGAAGAAATCAGTCAATAGACCTGAGCACTTAAGCCATTTTAGACTGCTTCCCTCATAGTTCTCATGACCACGACCCTGGTCCACAAGTGCCTCCTCCCTGACAGTTCTCATGACCATGACCCTGGTCCACAAGTGCCTCCTCCCTGACAGTTCTCATGACCACGACCCTGGTCCACAAGTGCCTCCTCCCTCACAGTTCTCATGACCATGACCCTGGTCTGCAAGTGCTAATAGCACACTGTATCACTGTAAAATAAAAACAGAATCCTTGTATCATACCTTCAATGACCCAGTGAGAAGACATGCTCACATGCAAATAAATACCCAGTCATTGCACAGGCCAAAAGTTCTGCTTCAAAATGCATGTGAGAAAGCTCCTTACGTGTTTACCTGAGAAGTTTGCTGTATCCATCATGTGCTAATATCCATTCGAGTGAATTTTGTTCGCACACCCTCCCCCCAATACCTAAGGAACAGTGACTTGCGTGTAATCAGTGGTTAAAAAGGTGTGTTGACTGCACGCTGGATATTGGATTGGCCCCATTTTTAGGAAATTAGTTCAGAAGCTGTGTACTGCTGTACATCAATGTGACCACATTTGACTGTAAATAATTCAAACTGAGGAACTAGTCTGCATTGTACTCCATAGAAATGAAATCTGGGGCTGGAGAGATGGCTCAGCAGTTAAGAGCCCTGGCTGCTCTTGCAGAGGACCTGGGTTTGGATTCTAGCACCCACATGATGACTAACAACCATTGGTAACTCCAGTTCCAGGGGACCCAGTGCCCTCTTTCTGACCTCCAAGGGCACTGCATGACACAGCTGCACTTACATACATGCAGACAATACACTCATATATATATATAAAAATAAATTTTATGAAGTAATTATGAAACTGAACAAAATGGACAGAACAACGATTTCAGCACTCTGCACATTGACCCAAGGCATGTAGCGATCAGAGATACATCGATACTCTGACAACTGTTGCATTTTAGGTGAGTGCAGTAGTGTGAATATATATATAAAATAAAACATTTTAAGAGCTAAAGAATGTGGGTACCTAAAGGCCTCACCAAAGAAGAGATGAAGTCTAGCTTATAAAATACAGGAGGAGTTTCCAAATATAAACATGCAATTTGTAGACTTACGAATAAAACAGAAAGTTTAAATGCAGCCTTTTTACGGGTCAAAGGCATCACTTCCTCTCTGGTCTGTTTCTCTTCCTCTCACTGTGATGCCCTTCTGCAAACACATAGGAGAACAGGGAAAAGAGAGGAGAAACAACTGTGATCACTCACTGATGAGATTCAGGATCGTTGACTCACGACAGAGTAGCAATGGAGTACTTCCTTCTTCAAGTAGAGGGAAAAAGAGCAAAGCAAATGCCTTAGCTTTCTGCGTTTATGCTGTGGAAGTTGCGGCTTATTCCGGGAAGGATTAAGTGAGCGTTTGGAGACAGTTTGCCTTCCTTGACTTAGAAAGAGTGGAGGAGGAGGAAGAGGAAAAGCCAGGCCGTTCTCTCATGCCTTGCTCACCCTCACTCCCCCTCTCTCGGCAGGTTGGCATGCTCTCTGCCGTCCCTCACCTCGTCATGACCATCATTGTACCAATTGGAGGGCAAATTGCAGATTTCCTAAGAAGCAAGCAAATTCTTTCCACTACTACAGTGAGAAAGATCATGAATTGCGGTGGTAAGTACGTGCCGGGTGGCAGGCACCTGTGCCTCTTCACCGTGGGAGCGAACATCCTCGTGTTCCTCCCTGTCGCACTAGGCCATTTCAGTTTGATGTGCACCTCTAGGGCACAGGTCAGTTTTCACTTTGTAACTTTTCACAACGCTCACCAAAAAGCACTGTCTGTTAAAGCCATCTGGATTTAATGTAACTAAACTTCTTACCATTGAATCTTTGGTTAATTTGGACTTTAAAAATACACCATGTGGGGCTGGGGAGGTGGCTTAGAAGTTAAGAGCACTGGCTGCTCTTGCAGAGGACCCTGGTTCGGCTTCCAGCATCTTCGTGGTGACTTGCAACCATCTTAATCTCCAGTTCTAGGGGATCCAACACCGTTCTCTGGCCTCCAGGGCACATGGTTCACAAACATACATGTGAGGTAGACAGTTACATACATCAAATAAAAATAGACTTAAGAAACACAGGAGGAATGATCCAGTAATGTCTGGCCTAGCATTTTAGGACCATGGTTCCTTCCGAATAGGGCTCCCCAGGGCAGAATGTCTAGATCAGCAGGAGTGGGAAGGAGTAACCGTTCGGGTTCCTTGGTGAAAGTGGCAGAGATTTCTGTACGTGCATGTGCTTGCTTTCCCAGGTTTTGGCATGGAGGCCACACTGCTGCTGGTTGTGGGCTATTCTCATACCAGAGGGGTGGCCATCTCCTTCCTGGTGCTAGCTGTGGGATTCAGCGGATTTGCTATATCTGGTAAGAAGCAATTTCTGTCTTCCTGAGTGCTAGTCCTTAATCTTTCTGGTGATCGTCTATGTAAATATGCATGATGTATATGGTAATCAGAGTAGCCATTACATTTAGAAAACATTCAGAGTTCCTACCATTTCTTTCCCTTCTAACAGCTTCTTTCTTGTTCTTGATCACTTTGTTAGGCAATCATGGATGGAATGATGCTCAGTGGCAAAAGAAACAGTTCCACATTTCACTCCTTGGTACCCCTTGAACAGAGTTACCAGACAGTCACCTCTAAGCACAGGGCGTGCACCCTGTGTCTTCTGGGGAGGTGTGCCATGGTGTTCTGTGGCAGGTAACTGCTTCCTAACGGTTTCTGATTCCTTGAGTCTGTGTGTCTTTCAGGCTTCAACGTGAACCACTTGGACATAGCTCCGAGGTACGCAAGCATCTTGATGGGCATTTCGAATGGTGTCGGCACGCTGTCAGGAATGGTCTGTCCCATCATTGTTGGTGCGATGACAAAAAATAAGGTAGGAGGGAGAGGGAGATTTGGCTGCAGAAGGTTCTCTCTTGGGGTCGGGAAGGAGGTTCCGTGTGTCCTTGGTGCACTCCCTTCAGTTCAGTTTCCAGGAATAGAAATGAACCTCAGAGGGGCAGATCTCTGTGCAGCTCCGAGAAGGTCCACCTCTGCCAGCAAGCAAGGGGTTTCTTGAGGTCTTTCCACATTCACGGATGGATGGATGGATGGATGGATGGATGGATGGATGGATGGATGGATGGATGGATGGATGGATGGATGGATGGATGGATGGATGGATGGATGGATGGATGGATGGATGGATGGATGGATGGATGGATGGATGGATGGATGGATGGGTGGATGGGTGGATGGACGGGTGGATGGACGGGTGGATGCACGGGTGGATGGACGGGTGGATGGGTGGATGGGTGGGTGGGTGTATGGATGGATGGATGGATGGATGGGTGGGGGGATGGATGGATGGATGTTTGGATGGACAGATGGATGGATGGGTGGATGGACGGGTGGATGGATGGGGGGATGATTGAGTGATTGATTTAGAAGTGCTGAGAATCAATGTTAGGATTTTGCACATAGCACCTATTTTTGAAACACCTCTAACAAAAACAGTCAGGAAAAACAATGCTTTACCATTTCCCAAGCTTCCTTTGTAAACCTGTGTTCAGAGTCGGATGGACAGATGGATGGATGGGTGGATGGACGGGTGGATGGATGGGTGGATGATTGAGTGATTGATTTAGAAGTGCTGAGAATCAATGTTAGGATTTTGCACATAGCACCTATTTTTGAAACACCTCTAACAAAAACAGTCAGGAAAAACAATGCTTTACCATTTCCCAAGCTTCCTTTGTAAACCTGTGTTCAGAGTCTTCCATAATTGTATGGGAGAGAATGTCAGTCTGATATCTGTCCTTACTTGTTCAGACGGCTTTAAAACTGTGGTTACATGGAAGGAACCCAGGGGAGGTGGCTGAGGTGGTTCATGTGTCTAACTGTAGGCCTGAGGAGGAAGAGTCAGGTGGATCCTCAGGTCAAGACCGGCCTCAGTTACATAGCGAGGGGCTTGCCCCCCAAACACGAAGAAGATTAATAATAAATAAATGGAAATTAAAGAGAATAGTAGTATTATTAAACACAGTAGGCTACAGGCACCTTTAAAGTTTCATTCTTAAATTACTAACTTAAAATATCAAATGACAGAACCGTTCCAGGGGCTTGCTTGATCTAGGCCAAGCCCGTGCTTCGTGCCGGGCGTCAGGCCGAAGCGCTCACAGGTGCTGGGTTCCAGTCCTGGGCGCTCAGCTCACCCGCTGCTCTCTCCACAGTCCCGGGAGGAGTGGCAGTACGTCTTCCTCATCGCCGCCCTGGTCCACTACGGCGGAGTGATCTTTTATGCAATATTTGCCTCAGGAGAGAAACAACCTTGGGCGGACCCCGAGGAGACCAGCGAAGAAAAATGTGGCTTCATTCACGAAGATGAGCTGGAGGGAGAAACGGGGGACATCACCCAGAACTACATCCACTACGGCAGCACCAAGTCCTACGGGTCCACCACGCAGGAGAACGGCGGGTGGTCCAGCGGCTGGGAGGGAAAAGCCGAGTTCGTACAGGAGGGCGCACGGGACACCTACACCCACAAGGACCGAGACGATTATTCCTAACGAAGCTAATGGCTGGGTTTATTTTTAGTGTTCGTGATTAAATTCATTGTGATCGCACAAAAAATTTAAAATGTGATGTAAACATGTAAACATATCAACCAAGCAAATCTCGCTGTTAAAAAAAAACACAAAAAACTGAAATCAAAACCAATCATGAGATGACCATCCAGTGCAATCTGTGGAAGTTGTCCAGTTCCATCATCTCCATTCAGGTGGTTTTTCCTTGCATTTGTGACTTAAAGGTTCGTTTAGAGATAAGTAGGTATTCACTGGATTCATTGAAATGAAGGCCATCACCATTTCAGAAAGCACAACTCAAACAGTTGGCATGAGTCATCCCACCGAACTTAGGAAGGTAAAGCTGCTGATCATGCAAACCGTGCTTACACATTCCTTACACCATATCGCAAGATATCACGGGGGATTCCTGGTTAGAGACAAGGGAGATGGAAAAGCTGACCGAGTCACGTGTTGACCATGATTATTAAGCATAAATCATGGAGTGGCAATATCTCTTAATCGAAGAAATATATTGTATGCTAACACCTAGCAAACTGTACTGAATAATCATTAGGACTGCAAGTGTGCAATATTTTGTGATCCTCCGGAAGAATATCTTGCTGTGTTTCTGTGAAGTGCTTGGGCACAAATACTTATTTTTCTGAAAGAGAGCTTGTAAAGGGAGGGTCTGGTTTATGTTCTTCCATTCATTACCTAACAGTATAAAACACCGAACATTTCAACAAAATTCAACTTTTCGTGTAACATATCACATAACTTTTTTTGCAAAAAATATAAAAAAGAAATATACTCAATGTATTTTTTATTACAACTTTGTACTGGTTGTAACTTACACTAGGAAAAAATGATATAGATATATATATATACCATAAAGAATCTAATAAAAATTTACTATGAAGATATAGCCCTTAAAATGCAATATCAACAACAAAAGAAATAGAAAATGATTTAGATATCCTTCTTCCATAATAAAGACTATATGAATCTTGTGCCACAGAGCTATATGTACTATGAAAAGATAAATTTAATAGAGATACTATAAGTAGACAATTTTATTATCTAATGTCCCATTTAAGAGACATGTGTCTTAAGTATATAGAACAAAACTATATTAAAAATTCTATATCTCTGTATATCTTATACATACCCACACACAAACATAACAATTTTCACACAGAACCAAAATAGCAATACACCTAATGTTGGGTTAAGGGACTGCAATTTCTACTTTCATAGAGTCATCAACTTTTAGGTGGGAAAAGGGCATTTTGCTTGTCATTGCTTAATACATCTCAACGGGAACCGCCCAAGCAATAAGAGCATAAACGTCCTGTTTCTGTGTCATTTCTGTGTCGCTTATGGTAGCTATTTGGGTGGTGGGAACGGTTTTCTTTTTAAGCAGCTAACAACAGAACTCTGTAGAATGTTCCTTGGTGATACTGCATTTCCCAGTTCGGCGCAGAATTCCACTGGTGTATTTAATACGCTGTTCTTGGTATTTGATCTGTTCGGTGTCCTGTGCTCGTGAACGGAGACCCCTGCTACTGCAAATATAAACATGAAGTTTGTTTCTGAAATGCAAACCACTCCTGACCTTAAGAAAATAAAACTCCTCCCAGCTTTGTGTCTCAAAGTGACATCCTGTGATCCTAACTCCTGCCGTGCTCAGTGGAAAGATGTGGACTGCCATCTTGTTGCAGCGAAAAAGAGTGACAATAAGATGTTCTAATTACCCTTCTGTGAAATCAGTGCATTAACTTCGCTTTGATTCTTTTTGCAGATTTAACATGAACTTGGCTTGAGGATGCTCCAATGAGGCTAAATATAGGATGCCAGGAATAGCCTCCTTAGCACCTTGAGAGTTCATGGAAGGACACGGCCTTTGTTAGGTGGGGAGACCTGGTTCTGTAGACACATTTAAACTAAAAAACAAGTCTCCGAATCAGACTCCACTCATCAATGACTATGTGTCATAACTGCTGTTAAATTTAAAGCAAAGTTTGGAAACAAACTTGAACTTGTCAGCTTACCACTGCCACCATACTGTCATTGCCCCCGTAGCCTGGGTGAGGAAATGCCAGTCACTTCCATGATGGTCATTCTATGGTGAGTTATGCAACTGTATAGTCGCCTCTGAAGCAGGTACTCACTTATTCCCCATTTAGAAGTGAAAAAAAGCAGTTCGGAAAGTTTAGCTTTGCCCAAGTCAAATAGAGCAGTGTTGTTAAAATGTTAGTCAAACCAGTTAGCAGTGAACAAGGCAGCCAGCAGAATGTCCTCACCGCTAGTGAAGGTGATCAAATCTCAGAGCCTTCACTGGCAGAAGGATGAAGGAGAAGACTAATTGTGTGCTCTACATGATCTGTGTGCGGTTGCTGGAGAGGTGGCTCAGTGGTTAAGAGAGTTCCCTGCTCTTCCAGAGGACCAGGATTCCATGCCCAGCACCTGGGTTGGCTGCTTCACAACTGCCTGTAACTCCAGCTCCATCTAAGGAGTCTGACACTTTCTTCTGGCCTCTGAGGGCATCCACACGCACGTGACACACACATACACATAAATATACACAAATAAAATTTAAGTTAAATAATCATAATCTTTGGCTCCTGACACCACTGTTGACACTCCTTACTTAACAAACAAGGACACTGGAGATCTAGAAGGGTATCAGACTTGGTGAAGGCAGCAGAGATATTGGTATAAGCTTAAAGTTTTGAAATGAATTATGATTAGTTGTTCCTTTCTTTTAGCTGTGTTTTCATTACATGAATTGTTTAGATAAGTGTGTGTCATTTCAATTACGGTCATCACACCAGCTCTGAAGGCAGGGCATTTGTGGGAGTTGCAGGTGAGGGACACAGCTTTCTTTCACCCTCTGCATAAGGAATCAGCAATGATTCCTTGACCCAGCCTAGTTTGGGTGTGGTTGCTATGATAAAACCCTGATCAAGACCCAACTTTGGGAGGAAAGGGTTTATTTCAGCTTATACCTTACAGCCCAACATTGAGGGAAGCCTGGGAGGAAACTCAAGAAGGAACCTGGAGGCAGGAACTGAAGCAGAGACCATGGTGGAACCCTGCTTGCTGGCTCTGTCACAGACTCACAATCAGCCGTGTTTCTCATATAGCCCAGGCCCACCTGCCTAGGGATGGTGCTGCCCACAGTGTGCTGAACCTTCCCATGTCAGTTAATAACAGAGAATGTTCTCCACAGAAACATCCCAGGCCAGGCTGATCTAGGAAATTCCTCAACTGAGGCTCCCTCTTTGCAGGTGACTAGACTGTGTCAGGTGGAGAAGAAAACTAACCAAGACCCAGCAGAGGCTGACATGCCCTTGTGATCTCTCAGGCAGAGGTGATGATATCCTGACTGTAACAGTACATGCTTTTCCAATTCAAAGTGGAAGCTTCAGATCTTCTCTAGGGAAATCCTGCTGGTGGGGTCTCCCACTCAGACCCTGGCCCCATTCTTTTCCCTTTATCTCAGTCATGCAAAGTCACTCTTCTCTCTCCTCATTGGCCTTTTTCTTTCTGTGATTGGCTCGTATTGTGATGCACCTAGTATTTTGCATTGTACAATCAGCTTCCTATGCCTTACTTCATTTTGTTCTTGTATGTGGTTTCTAAAGCGAAAAAGGAACTTTTCACTGTTAGTATTTCTACTTTCCAGCTAAGCAAACTGCACCTATGAGGATACTTATCTTCATGGCGGATCTCCAAGCAAGGAGAGAGCTAGAATCCTGTAAGAAAGTATTCTCTTTTAACTTTGAAGTCACCTTTCCCCATCTGATTATAAGCACAATGCTGGGCCAGAAGTTTCATGAGATAAAAGTCATTGTTAGAACAAGTGATGGTGAGTCAGCTGTGCTGACTCATGCCTATAAATCCCAGTTCCAGGGAGCTTTTGACAGGTCCTACAAGTCAGAGGCCCTAGTTCTCTGAGCTAAGCCCACCTGAGCCAAGAACTAGGCTCCATCCGATTTAAGGAACCCTTCAACAGCAGGGAGGACAGATTCCCTCAAGTTGTCCTCTGACCCCACACATGTGCTGTGGTACATGTGCCAGCACACACCTGCACACACACACACACACACACACACACACACACATACACACACACAAAACAAGATTTGACTGTGCTGGATAGCTTTAGTGTCAACTTGACACACCTAGGTTGAGAGAGCCTCAACTGGGGAGTTTCCTCTATTGGACTGGCGTGTGGCCATGTCTGAGGGGCATCTTCTTGATGAGTGATGTGGGAGGGCCCAGCCCACTGTGGGTGGTGCCACCCCTGGGCAGGTGGGCCTGTGTTGTATAAGAAAGCAGGCTCAGCAGAGGCCAGGGGAGCAAGCCAGTAAGCAGGGATCCTCCATAGCCTGTGCTCCAGCTCCTGCCTCCAGGGTCCTGCCCTGAGTTCCTACCTTGGGCTCCCTGATGAACCTGGGAGATGTAAGATAAAATAAACCCTTTCCTCCCCAAGTTGGTACTGGTCAGAGTATTTTGTCACAGCAAATGAGGAACAAATTAAGACAGTGATTTATGTATGTTAGTATGTATTTAAAAAACCATTCTTTGTATACTATGGTAAAAAGACAAAAATGTGACTTGCAAATACACAGACAGAAATATTCATATTATATCTGTAGAGGAGGAAGGCAGAAAAAATGAGATTTCAAATTTGACATTTTATTGGACTGAGGTACACATATCAGTATTTGTTCTGAGAAAACACACACAGAGTCTAATTTTATCTTTCTTGACTTTTAAAACTTTATGTTCAAGATTGTCAAGCCAGATATGACCCTTTCCCCTAGAAAAAAGTCTCACTGTTCTTCCCCACTTTTCCCGGTTTACGTTTTGATCTCTCAGCTGCCAACACACAGTCCTGCTCTTCAAGGGCATTTGATGGTTTTCTGAATCTACAGAATTTATACAATCACTTAGGGGAAATGCTTTTACTTCATAAAGTCAAGGTAAAAGAAGAATGGTGGGCATTTCCAAAGAGGTTGGTGAATCCAGACGAAGCTCTTCAGCACAAACCTGCCAGCCCATGCAGGTGACGAGGCGGTGGAATCATGCCATGTCTGTGGACAGCTGTGCAAAGACTTGACAAGAAGCAGACGCCATGGTGAGACCGTGGACGACATCAAGCCAGGCGTGGTGGCACAGGCCTGTAAGCCCCAAACTCTGGAGGCAAAGGCAGATGGATCTCTGTGTGTTTGAGGCCAGCCTGGTCTGTTTAGCAAATTCCAAGCCAGTCCACAGAGTACAACCTTGTCTCAAAAACAAAAGCAAAGGATGATGAAGAGATGGATCCCAGGTTAAGACTCTAGATGTGCTTTCAGAAGACCAGAATTCAGTTCCCAGCACCCCCTTCATGTGGCTCAAAACTGCCTGTGATTTCCTCAGGGGATCCAATACCCTCTTCTGGTCTCCAAAGGCACTCGGGCACATGTACACACACACACACACACACACACACCCCACACACAATCTTTTAAAAAAAGATAAAACAAAAAAATTAATTAGCATGTCAATAATTTAGTCTAAAGACAGAGTGTGTCTAATTCCAGTTGCAATAAGAGTAACAAAAATATAAAATAAAGGAGCTGCTTGGACTTGAGGCTAACCCTGATGCTCACTCTAACCTAATCCAGTATAAGCCTTGTCGGGCTGCTGGGCCTCGACTCCCACATCTGTGCTACAAAGGAACTGGATGGCTGTAAAGGCTTCTGAAAATGTTTACAAAGTGGTTGTTAAAACAGTCTCATCTCTGGAATAGTCTGACCTTATTCTTTCTTATAAGCTAATGAGTCCCTCAAATCAACTGTTGCAGGTTTTCTCGGAAGGCCAGGGGATAGGAATCTGAGGCTTAGTTTCGATTTGCATTCCCATTACATAAAAAATAATAAGCACCGTTTTGATCACTATTAGGGTACATGGAAGTTCCTTTCATCCTTCTGGACTTTTTTGTGTGATTCTTGTTTCTAATTCTTCTGAGGAAATCTTATATTGTTACATAATGCTGCATCATAGACTCTCAGGCAATGGATTCCTCATTACACATCCCATAGTGAGGTGGAATACACTCATGACAAACCATGGGTGTCAGGTCTCATGACAAGCCACACAACTGTGATTAATTTTGTGGAATTACAGGGACCTATCAAGCTGACACAGAAAGGGAAGCATGACCAGGCGCCCCCATTTTACAGATGGATTGCTGAGGTCAGAAAGGGGAAGTGAATGTTTAAACAACCCAGTGAGCTACAGGCAGAGAGGAAACCCGAGTCTGTGTCTTAGGGTGTACATCATATCAGTATTTTAGAGATGATGAAATGCTGATTTTTATTCAGTACATCCATCAGCTTTTCAAATAATAAATATGGAGAATGTTCATAGGACCACCCCTCGTTTATTTCCTTGTGAAAACAGAAGCCAAGTTTCTCTTCCCAAAGGTTCACTTTCCCAAGTGTTGTCAGGGTTTGTACTTCTTGAACCATTTAGTTCTCTTCACCTTCTGACAGATTCTTCTGCATTTTGTAGCCAATCCACAAACTTTCATCTGGTCAAGAAAGGCACGTTTGCCTTTGGCACGTCTTTAGACCACTCCAACACTGCTTCTTCACTCAGAACACCGGCTCTATAAAAGAGG